GGGATCCTTCTAAAGCACCAAGACTTTCATCTGTATGCAGCAGTGAGAAGAGAGCCTTGGTGTGCCTTCTTTCTTTCTTATTATAACTAGTGATGAGGACCAGGCATTCTCTAAAGTGTGTATAATTCCATCCTTCAGCATCTGATCTATCTCAACACCGGTTATATCCATCTCTTGTGTTCCAAGGAAGCCTTAATGGCAGTTCCTTTGTAGAACATGAAACTCCAATATTTATATGATACTGGGTAAATTTTGTTTCTTTCCAGTTTACCATCTTTTCTGAAATTCATCGCTAATCTCTTAAACTTTCTCTGCTAATCTAAACTTAGATTATTTTCACAAACTTTGATAAGTTTATACTGAAGCATGCCACTAGAGATAACATTTTCAAAGAAAGAAAACTTTTGCATGGACATTTATTTTAATTTCAAACTATCCATTATCAGGGCTAAAATTAAAATCATTTTATCTGATCTGTTATTAAATACTTGTTTTATAAAAGACTTATTAAGTTATATTAACGCAATTTTGAAGTCAGTCACATCCTTACAGTTTGTGTCACCAAATGTGGTCTTGCTCTTTCTGGTGACTGTGTATCTTGACAATAGGTTCTGTTGTAAGGCTCTCTTGTTCGAGCATACAACTCGTAACTGCATACTTTCCATAGTTTACCAAGTGTACGAGGACGATGATTTCCCAACACATGTTTCAACAGTTATAACACACAGAAATCCATAGGTAACTTAAACAGTATCATTTCGTATAGAATAGCATGATCTATATTCTTCAGGTATTTGAATTATGCCATGGAAGCAAATTTTGTACACGTGACTTGAGTTGCTTTTCCAATTAAAAATATTTTTTATGATGCCGTATTTTGTTGCCTGAAGCATGAGAATTCTCACCTTTTACAAGATACTTACCGTGCCTGGGGTAAAAGTTGTTGCAAATCTTTCTCTGGATGGTCCTAGTATCCCAAATTGACCTATATTACTTTGTTTTCCAATGCCATTAAGTACAAGGATATTGCTATTTTATAAATTCTAAATCCTCGATTTGATAAATGTTTATGACATGAATATTTTGCGTCAGTAAGGACTGTTATATACCCTTCTCAAAGGTAATCAATTTTCGGTGGCATTATATGATTTGCAGGTTAAATTGATTTTTAAGAGTATTAAGTAGGTCTGCTGTATAACAAAAGGATCGGCAGGATAGATAAATTATGAAGTAATACTGAATTTAACTAAACTAACTGTATTTAAGCAAAGAAGTAAGTAGACTAAACAAAATATGTCATAGAAAATGATACACAATCTTTATTTGCATCAAAGACAAAGAAAGATACATTGTGTGTGTGTGCTTGCTTATTGTTTGCTGGACTGTTGCCTTTTGCTGAAATCGTGAACTGATTAACTGATTTTCTTCTGTCAACATGTCTTCGTACTTATTGTGAAAATATTTGTGGAGTTTCGTTTCTTTATCGACATGTACACTTTTGAACAGTTTTATGAATACTTAGTTATTTGGTTTACACAGCTAAATGGATTTAAAATATAGCAATGGATTTTGTTTTCGTATTAGTCGTGTCATAAATTAACTTTAAACTCGTCTATTAGTATTAATAAGGAACTGGGATAAATTCATGCAAAATAGAAAAATAAAATAAAATGACCATTAGAAATTTTTAAGTATGTGCTGTTTTAATTTTCCTTCATGTGAGGTTTTGTACTACCTTATGCTCATATTGGAAAATATAGCTCACTGTTCTGCTTATTTCAGTCTTAATTCTCTAAATCAGGCCCGGCATGGCCAGGTGGTTACGGCGCTCGACTCGCAATCTAAGGGTCGCGGGTTCAAGTTAATTTTACCTTATTATATTGTGTGAAAAGGGCCTGTGCGTGTGCATAGCTACTCTGGCGCTTACCTAAATACCGATGAAGAGCTACACACGAGTTAAACTTTGACAGTAAGGTCAGAAAGAGAGAATAACGATTTTAATAAAGTTATAGTTATACTTCTAATCTAACCATGGTTTGTCCTGAATTTTAATTATTCTCACACTTAGAATGATACTCGGAACTTAACAATGAATATCTGAGTCGACCAGACCATCTCCGCCAGTATTTCCTTAACTCTCTTGCAACTTTTATGAAATATGTACAGTCGTACAAGGAATGCAAAGGTGTTCGTCAATACAAAAAAGGAAAAAGGACTGGGGGAGATACAATTATTATTATTTTTTTGCAGATAGAGAAATGTTTTACTACACTTTAACTGTGGTCAAAGTGCTTTTGTTATACAATATCTATAGAATTCGCGCGAAGCCATTAATCATTTGGAACAATAAGAACAACTAGCAAATTTTCTGTCGAGATCGCATTCATCTCGGAGGAAAGATGTCAGAAGCATCAGATTTTAAGTTTTAAAATGCCAAATGGTGGAAGAGAAGCATGTCTACCTGTAAACCATGGATGTTCACAGAACCGTCGGAAGAAGTGGACAGCCATGGATAGAGCGGAGAGAGTGATTAAGTTGTTAACTTTGGAGAGATAGGAAATCACTACGAGCACTATATCCATTGAAAATGGCATAGCAAAAGAGTCCTTAGATCAAGCCCTACATATCCTTATATTTTATTTCGATTTCTCTAATTTACGGATTTCGTATGAATCTTACTCTGTCGCAGAAATTATACAGCTGGACTGGTTGAATCAGAGGTTCATTGTTAAATAAACGTTTAATGCAAAATTAGTTGTAATTATGGTTTGATTTCCAAAGAAAATAGCATTTATCATTATAATGATTAGATTAATATGATTAAGTGCCGAGTGCTTCTAATATACTTGACAGCGTCTTAACAACAATTCGTGTGGAATTTTCTTAGTTCATTCGTAATACAGGGTGATTACAAAGTTCAGCGCGACATGTCTCACAAACAGTATGGCAAAGGAAAGTGAAGCTCCACAAGGTAGTTATAGGTATCATGTATGCCCCATTTGTCATATGTTGCAAAATAACGCATACTGTGGTTTCTTTTGCACATTTCCCATGGGTATAAATAGGGCTGTCGATCGCACTGCAGCTCATTTAACCAACATGAAACTGATAACTGTACAGAGAGCTGAACTACTGAAATGATGTTGCACCAACGGATACAATGCTGATGCAACTTTCAGGAAATACCGTATAGTGCGTAATATTCACCCAGGGCTTATTCCAGTGTTGCTCTGCGTAACTTCATATGAAAAAAATTGAGGATAGTGGTTGCATTTGTGATAAGTCGCATGCATTCAGACAAACAACGTCTACTGAAACTATCGCTGAGGTCAGGCATACCCTAGTAGAACGAGCAAGCACAAGTGTACATGGCTAGAGCAATGCCCGTTTTATTGCCTAGCGTCTGAATTTTTTAATCTCAACTTTTCATAAGGCTCTTCGGTCAACTTTGCGAATGTTTCCTTACCAAACCTCACCATGTACAAACACTAAAGTAGACAAATTTAATACAACGTGTTGACTTTGAATTTGTCAAGACTTGAAATCGATGGTCAGTGGCCTGCCAATATCGTATGGACTGATGAATTAACTCACTGTTTCTGAAAGTGTTAATCAACACGCGCAACTGCATTATCTGGTCAGGAACTATTCCACAGGTAAAATTTCCTACACACTTCCATAACGCTAAGGTGACAGTATGGTGTAATTTCACAGCTAACTTTCTAATTAGCTCGTACTTTCATAAAATATTATGAGTATATAAACTACAAACTCACACAGTCAATGCTACACGATACCATTTAATGCTCACAACCATTGTGATTCTCATGCTGCAGCAAAATGTGATAGACAATGCGGTATTCATTCAGAATGATGCCCTTCCGCATAATGGTTAGGTGCAATACATCTTGCAAGAGTACTTTCAGGACAGAATCATTTCATGTTACTTTCCCTATGAATGGCCACCTCGTTGTTGGCTGTGGGGGTACCTGTAGTCATGCGTTTACAGTGCGAAGCCTCGTACAATTCCAGACCTTAAGGATGTAATTGTCCAGAAAGTAGCCAGCATACCTGATAAGATGCAAGTTGCTGTTGTAATATCCATTGTAGCACGGATGCAATGCATTCTAGACGCTGGAAAAACATATTTGGAACATTTGATCTGATTGATAGCACATTATGTAATAATGGCGCCTCTGGAGGCAACATGTGACAATTGTGTTATTGACATCCGTGTGTTACCTTTGTAATTTCTCATTCATATATACATCGTTTGTGAGATATGACGCGATGAAGCACAAAATTTTATTTATAATCACCCCGTAGATTAAATATGCAGAATAAGAATTTTTTATTTCTATATGAAGTTGTAAAATTACGCTAAAAAAATGCAAAACTAAAAATAATCCTTGTCAATGCTCCAGATGGTTCTGCTATGATTAGTGTCTGGCGAAAAGCTTCAGTAGATATTTCTTTTGCAACATCTCAACCAACAATTGGTCCAGTTCTCAACGCTATTTTCAAGTTTTGAACAACTCGATTTTTTAAGATCTACATATCTAAATGTGCCGATGTTTCCATTTATGAACGTTATATTTTAAGATCTCTGCAAGAACTCACTTAACAGATGTTTCCGTAATATCAAAGCTATATTCAAGTTTTGTACAACGAAAAACCTTTAATGCTCTGTAAAATCCTCAGTATCAAAACGTGATTTTAATTCAATAATATTAATTTTGAATCTTATTTTTGCTCGAATTAAAGATATATAAAAATACAAAAGCCTTGCAATATAACAGATATTTTCAGGACAAATGTTTCAGTATGACTAACCAGGAAGCAAACGTAAAGTATTTACTGTAGTAATGTCTATTTCATTATTCTAAAAATAGTTCCTAAATTGGTCGGAGTGTATTTAAATATAAACAAACATCTATATTTTAAGTATTTTGTATTTTGCGACCTTAAACTATGATTCGTTATTGTGTATTTTACGTGTATTAGATCTCTTGTGGCTGAGAATAACCTTAGCTATGACCGGAAAGTTGTGTATCGCCAGTTCGTTTAGTGTGATTTACATTTACTCAACTGAACTCTTCCCTACTGTTGTACGAAATGTTGGATTAGGTTCGTGTTCAATGTCCGCTCGGATTGGATCAATGGTAGCACCTTTTGTTAAGGAGTTGGTAAGTCACGTTTTGACGTTAGAAATCAGAAGAGCATTTGGCTATAGAAAACTCAGTAAATGTTTCATTTTGGATTATACGCGTGGAAAGTTTAGCAACTTTGCATGCATGGCATTCTGATTAAATATTCTGTTTTATTTCATCTCTTATAGTTTCTGAACATGAATTAACATATTTAAAACAAATACCATTTTGATTATTTTTAGTGGCATGTGTAAATTAAGAACATGCACTGATCCAACATACTAACGTGACACTTATCTCAACTTCTTTGTATGTACATCTGCATACTTGCTGGCTATCGTTAACAATACTCTATAATGATATCAAAATACATCCACCTTGCTTTACCATAAAATGTGTATACTTTATATTAATAACACAATAAAACACACTAATGCTCTTTAATTAGTAAACTTCTTAATTCCAATTGTTTCTTTAAAATACTGAACTCCGAAGATTGAGCGGGTTTCATGACTTAAAAGTCACTCTTTATCATTTATTCTTCAAAGCTTCACAAAACTATACAACTTCTCCTACTGAAAGCTTATCGATACGTTGTGATATCAATAACTTATCAAAATTTGTATGTGTTTTGGCCTTGTATTTTTATTACCACAACTCTTTATTTTAAAGTTCAAATTGACCTTTGATTTTTTATGAACTAAAATAGTTTGATATTGAACAACATACTTTATTCTGTTATATATATTTATAACATTTTGAAAATTCATAATAATGAGAGAGAAACATAGAAACAATCCGAATCCTCAGTTACAACATATTACGAATATTCACATTAATATGCCGCGTTTGTCTTTAACGGTTTCATCTAATTCATGGAAAAAAAGAAGGATAGTTTTCAAAGGATACAGAGTAATTCTAAATTACAGTTTTAATTTGTCCTAAACTCAACTTCATTAAAAAATACCTGATACTCTTTCTTTGCTTACTGCATGAATATCTGTTTTGAAATCAAAAGGGGTTTAATATAACTGATAAGCTCTTGGTTGTTCTGTGATTAAACTAGATGATGCTTCAATTTCTTTGTTCTATCTGCTAACAAAACTTCCATCCAAAACCTTCGCAAAATTTAAAATTAGCTTAATCTTATTTAGAAAATAAACGTTTTAGATAGTTTAAAAAAATAAATTCGTATTTTACAACAAAATTATTAAAGTAGGTTTTTTTCAGAAAGCAAAAATAAGTAATTTTATACCGACTTAATAATATTCCTCTAGGCAAACCTTCCAAAGATCATTAGCTACACGTCTTCAGAATTTCCCAAAACATTTCCCAGCAGGACATAATAGCCAAACATGCATTAAATGATTTAATTGGCAATTTTGAAAACGGTCCCTTTTTTAATCAAATGTTATGTTTTATCATTTCACAGGAACACAGAGGTGATTAATTTTTTGAGTTGTGAGAAGGGTATTCTTCATACCTGGGATAAAAAACATTTTTTTTCTACCACAAAAATAATTAAAATAGTTTAGTAGCTATTTAAATAAATTTATGGTTAACCCATCATGAAAATATATTTACATAATGACTCAGATTTGCCTTTTAGTGGCAGAGCGAACAGTCTGCGAACTTACATCGCTAGAAACCGGATTTCGATATCCTTTGTGTGACTTTGTGCTTAATAACAAACAGCAACAACGACTTAAATTTTGTTCATGAACATCTGCGGTTCTTTTTTACGTTCATACAGATGGTATGGAAAAAGCAGTACATACGAGACTTGTAAATTTTTTGACATAAAATTTTATGATTTTTAAATTAAATCACAGTTATTTATCAGAGTAATTGGGTGTTTTCTTCAGAACATGCTGAAAATATTTTGATTTGGTGTTGATTTAAGAGTCTGGAATAGCAAAATGCGAGAATCAAAAGGCCAATGACGTAACTAAAGATTTTTTTTTTCTATCCAGGGAAAAGCTACAAGTAAAGGAGTTCCATTCGGAATATTCGGGGGACTCTCTGTAATTTCTGGACTTTTAGTTCTTCTGTTACCAGAGACTAACAAGCTGCCGATTCCTGACACACTTGCAGAAGGAGAAGAATTTGGAAAGTCAGTATTTGTATGTTAATTTATCTTTGAAGTTTTTTTTAATCTTTATCATTTTATGTCATAGTATGGGGTTATGATGAATTATATATGATTATATTTTTAAGTGATGTAATCAGGAAACGAGTTAACACAATAATTGTACATATTTTGAGCAGGAAACAGAACTAGAGAAGTCATTATACTTAACTAGGTAACTAGGATTTTTCGTATAAACATATCATCGGTGTTTTCTGTAAAAATGCATGCTCGCAAACTGTGTTGTAATTTTCACATGTATTCTTTCTATTCAACATATTTTGTATATTTTATCAAGGATACTATTCAGACTTCTTATCATTTCCACAATCTTTTATTCTATTATAAACAAGGGAAAGATTTTATTCATTGCTTTAATATCTTTCTCAGTTAACTTTTTATTAAATCTATTAGGCAAAAATTCTAGCTACAATTTCATCACCAAACCGACTTTTAATTATTTTTAATTAAGAGAGTAATTAGCGCCATCATCTATCTCACTCAGCTTATGAGTAGGTTCAATAGCATTAACTTTTTTACTGTTTCCATTTATTAGGAAAAAGTATAAAAAATATAAGGGTTTGTTTCAGGGAATAAGTCTTTTGAGAGTTTCAGTTATTTCTAATTTAGATAGTGACCCCCACGCTAAAGTATTAATACCATTAATATATATCTCTTTTTATCATCATTCGAGCTTAATGTTCATGCTTTTTACTTCTTATTAGATTCATAGTTTTATATATTTCTTTCTGATCGAATAAACAATCTTTATATTCATCGAATGTAATTCTATTTTTAACAAGACATTTCTTTACACCTTTGGACTTCCTACAGATTTTATCATCTTGTATTTTTAAAGAATACATTTGAGATATAAGCCTTACAAATTCAGTCATTATTTCCCCATTGTTCCCATCTTTCATTTTACCCAAAACATTTTTGTTTACAAACGGAATACCATAAGAATTATCGTTTGGATAGTCTGAAGTATCAAATAAATTAATATTTTCTTTTTATATCGTTATAGAGGTCATCTGTTTTTATTTCGTAAGTATAAGAATCAGTATCTTGTTATAATAATTTGAAGTCATCACCATACTTTGGTTTCATGAATCCATAGTGGAAATTATGCATCAATGTTTTCGTAAGATTTGGAATGCTCATACTAACATAAATTGACTTATTGAATAGTATTTTTGTTTTATTCATATGAATTGCGGATAACGTATCTGTAAATATTGTTCTATCCTTGAAGGTTGGTTTAGCTATTAATTTTTCAACTTTGTTTGGAGCAGAACACAATCTTATATCAACTCGTTTTCTGATATTTCCATAGTCCTTCCTAATACTGAATTATTCATCAATTTATATAAAAAATGTTTTTCAAAATCATTAGTAACCTTAGTTTCCCATTTGTGGCACAGCGGTATGTCTGTGGACTTACAACGCTAGAAACCGGGTTTCGATACCCGTGGTGGGCAGAGAACAGATAGCCCTTTATGTAGCTTTGTGCATAACTACAAATGAACAAATTTTTTATTTAGATCAATATATTTCTTAATCCAATCAGATTGCTTGAACTCTAACACACTATGAATTTTCTTTAGTTTCATTCCTGATTATAAATATTTTTTTCAGATTTCTATAGTGAAGCACGTAGTTATTCTTATATAAAGCTGTCATTAATTTTATTTTTAGTGGCTATTCTGTTCTTGGTGCTAGGGGTATATTTAAATGGATCCCCTCTTGCTTATTATTTGTTATACTTAAACGATATACATTATATTCTTTTTCTCTAAATGTAGACATTTACTAACATGTTCATCTTCTTTTTGGAATACCAATTACAGCAACAGCGTAATTAATTCTTCTGAGTGCTTCTTTAATATCTTTCAGTTGCTCTGGTTTATTATAATTACTAACTCATGCTGGATGTATTTTTTTTTTTTTATCTACTGGATGCAAACATGCTGATATACAATACATGAAACATTCTTGATCTTCATTTTTAATATTTGACAGAGTTGTTATATCTTCTATCTTTTTAGGTAACTTGATGAACCGCCTAATTATGTATATCTATTGATTCGAAGTTTTAAACTGTCTACACTTTCTAGGGTCCATCCAGATCCTCTCGTTTCAAACTCAGTCATTTATATTAAAAGTTTTTTTAACAGCATCTCTGTAATAATCTTCCACAGTAGTCGACCTTAGAATTATTTCATTTTTAATTTTGAGTGAAAATTATTCTGTTTATTCTTGCCTTCGACAAACATAAAACAATTTAACATTAACTTTTAAATTTATTTTACATCTTATCCGTTAGGTTTTATGTATGGGCCAGATTCTTTACAGTAGGTGTCTGTGACTTGTTGGTGATAAATTTCATCAATAAATAAACAGCACACAGTCCACTTGTTTTAAAATAGTATATTAAAACATGTCAAACTTATATACAAATGTTAATTACACTGTTAGTTATCACAGTTATATACTGAGCTTTAGATAATTGTCTCTTTTTCATCGAAGTCCACAAAGGCTGGTTCGGTACTTTAAAACACTATTTGACAGGATGGATTATTTTTCCTACTCCGTTGTTACAATACAGTCTGTGATAATTTCACTTAAGCACCGACACTGTACACTCTTTTCGGCTAAACTCACAATCTAGATCTTTCTATCTAAATTTCTGATGCATATCTATACTCCGACAGAGGTCTAGAACGTTCCACACCTACTAGATATTATGATGTAATAATACTCAATTGAAATAACAAGAAAAATTCAGAAGGTTCTAGAAACACAACGCAATAATATAACAATCACCAAATCATAATTAGTGAACTAAACAATGTGTTACGCCTCCATTCGTTAGTTAATTTTCCGTAAATTCGTTCCGACGAAACTTTAGCGACACAAGTCCTTTCTTAAATAAAACTGGTTTATTCTTTCCGAATACAACTTTACGATACACTTAATTTCAACAGTCACTCTATAACAAAC